AATGCAGTACGCCGCTCAACAGCGCCACTTACAACAAATCCAACTTAATACAGAGCATAGCGGAGGAGTGTCACGATAGCGTGGCTAAAGTGCGTCTACAGCAATTGGACACGCGCACAAGTACACCCTGTCACGTAGTGCCGCGTTCCCTCTCCACCAGTCTGATAAAAAACATGAACCTTAATAATAATAATCTCAGTAAAAGTGAACTAAACTCTGTGAATGTGGCCAAGTGTCCGAAGGAGCCGACACCGCCAACGGTTGCCAGCTCGGCTGGTCATCTCAGTGCGCCCAATCACGCCGACATACTGTTTCGGCGACAACGCAGCCTTGAAATGTTCCGCGAAGTGTTCAGTGGGCGTGGTAGTACGGAGCGACTGCGCGACCCTAGTCAACGTGTGAAAACACCGGGCGATGTACCGCCTTCAGTGCGTAAAGTGCGCGCCTCCAAGACGCTCAGTCTCTACGACGATCGCATGATGGACTCGTCCACGCTGAATATACTCTAGCATGAGGAAGTTCTGCTGTTGGAATTGTAAGCTGCGCGTAATTCTGTGTTGAGCTTACAATGGCGGCAGACAGAACATTAGTCTTAGAAATGAAAGTGGACGAGGTGCTTTGTTGAAAATACTCGCGTGTTTAGTAGGGCTCAGTGCAGAGAGCAAACGGGGCACGCGCTGAGATTGCAATACAAGATTTCGACTCTATTTTACATGGATGTTTATGTAACTATATGACACAGCTGTATTGTATGTATTTACAAGAAAAACTCTACACATATAAATATGTAGATTTGTATGTGTTTGTAAGTGTAAGTGAAATAACCAAAGTCCTTATAGTGTAATTTTTGAATGTGTTTTTGTACGAGATTTATGTAACGCATTTGGGCGTTGTGTCTGTAAGCTAGCCTTAAGCGTATATACTATACATAGTTAACGTACATATACATATATGTGCTAAGTAGGTGTAAGTTGTGTGTGCATTAGAAAGAAAAAAAAAATCGTGGAAAGGATCGCAGATCAACATTATCAGATATTGTTTGTTGTTACAGACAAAAAGTAGTAAGGAAAAAACTGTATTTTGTAAAACACTTATTGCTAGTAACGTAAGTCAACCACTGTACATCTCTAGGGAATTTTCATAGCTCTTATGGCAGACACCTATTACGTTTGGGTGGTTCTTAAAGGAAGGAAGATACAATTTAGTAGAAACAAATTTCAAAACATGACTAAAAAAAAAAACTAACTAAACTTCAAAAACTAATACAACATTATTATGAACGACGATGACAAAAAAGACAAAAAAAAATTTGGTGCCCATTGGAAGCTGTTAGGGTGTGCATATGCTGAAAAATAATTTTTTTTTTTACTTTGTAGGCACCTAAGTTGTTTGTAAACAATTTAAACTTTTTGTAAAAAACGTTTTCAGTTGGATATTTGATGGTTTTTGGGCGTGTATAAGGAAATAAAAGATACTTAATTTTTAAGAGCCACCCTAATTCGACATATACATACATAGGCGTTAATAAGTAAATGACAAAGAAAGTATGGACGTATAATCAAAAGCTAAGGATTTAGCCTTATGGTAACATTGACGTGTGCTTGTTAAGGTGGATCTGAAAGTACGGAAACTAAATATTTTCATTAAGTTTCGTCAAATATTTTGCTATAGTAAGAATATATTATAAACAAAAATCTTTAGTTATGTTGGGCTACGTAAGGAGTAAGTATAGGAAATATTTAAAAAAAATTTTTTAGCTTACGAATTTCGAGATATTTTAATTAATATATTTTTTGTGAACGTACCAAATTTTAATTTTGTGTACTGTAAAATTAACGAATTTTTGTAATTGGTGCGAAAAAATATATGTACATACATATTTCTAGTATTTTTTTTAAAACTTCCCTAAAATATATATACATATGTATGCACATATTCGAATTTGAAAATATTTCTATTATACATATATTTTACTGTAAAATCATCGAATTTTTGTTTTGAGTACTGAAAAATAACTTTTCCAAAATTTTTCAGAACCACAATAATACCCCGGCAACCGAATTTATCTAATTTAGTTTGCTGTGAAATTATCGAATTTTTGTTTTGGGTACTGAAAAATATATTTCCAAAATATTTCAGAACCACCCTAAYATGTTGATACATATTTGAATTTTAAAATATTTTAATTAATATATTTTACAGTTAAATTATATATATTTTTTTGGTAGCTGAAAAATAGACTTACAATATTTTTAGAACCACCCTAATATGTGTATGTATGGTCTATTAATATTCAAAATCAATAAAACGAAATTTTCAAAGCTAAGAAGCTAAAGGAAGCTCAGCTATAATATTTTCAGAGAAAGTTATGATAAAAAATTATTAAATTAAAAAAATTTGGTGTTTGTTGGCGACGACTAGGGGGTGGTTAAATAGAAAAATTAATTACTTCTTTAATTTTTGTACTACATAGCAGTTTCCGATAAGTTTCGTGAATTTTTATACAAAATTTTTTCTACATTATTACCAATTTTTGAAAATTACACTGAAAAAATTATAATTTTTGAGAGCCACCTTAATGTAAGTACCATATATACATAACTAATGATATGAAAGTCAACAGAAAGTATATATTATAGATGTATCATTCCCGCATAATTTTCATCAAAAACAATACTTTCTTAAAAATATATTTTTTGATTTGTCAATTAACCGCATTTATAGCTATTAAATGTATTAAAAAATAACACATACATATACACAAAAAAAGTCACGCAATATTATATATTTATACTTACATTTCTTTCTAATTACAAATAATAATAATAATTTACTACACACCCTAATACTTGAAATTGAAGCGTTCATGAAGTCGAAAGAATTTTCCAAATGCCTTGTATTTAATTAGAAAACAAAATAGAATTAGTGATTTACGATTTAAAATAGAAAACATGATAAGTTTATTCTTCACAATAATGAAAGCTATAAATATTATAGCCATATAAAAATTATAGCAATGATACTCTAACAAAAAACAATGATCTTAGTGTATTCCAAATTATATATGTAACGTATATAAATACATATGTATATAGGCATATAAGTATGTAAATGAATCTGATTTAGAAAACGTGAAATGTAGTGTGAGAAAGCAACAAAAACAAAAATATTATTTGTATTATCAGGCTCAGCTAACATCACATATACATACATACATACCATTAGCAGAGTTACATACAYACGCAAATATAGATACATATATACGAGTCTAAGTTGTGCAAATAAGTAAATACAAATGTATGTATTTAAATCAATAAATTCCATATATTAAAGAAAAATATATATATAAAATAATAATAATCGGATTTTTAATTGATATTTATTTAAAGTAGATTTGTGTGCGTTTACGTGTTCATGATAGATACACATACATGGTCACTTTTCCACCTATTTCAATTATAATACTATACTTGTACTTGGGCTAAGCATTCATATTGCAGTAGCTATCCAATAAGAGACCCTATGTCCGAGCTATGTAGGCACTATAGGAAAATATAAACACGTATCTGATGTTTGTCAAACCTTGGAAAGTGGCGAACCGAACAAACAATAGGTTACGGATAATAAACTGGTATAATAAAATACCAAATTGACTATATAGTTGGACTTTGGTGAGATCGCATTATAAACGTAACATCTCAATTCTCTATTCTATCGGTCAGAATGGGAAAGGTTTAGGGGTTTCAAAAAATCGATTTCTTTATTATGTTATTAAAGTCCACAACGTCTTTAGAATATTGTACCACTTTCAAATTGATCCGAGTAATAGTTTCGGAGATGCAGTCTTGAGAACTTGTGGGCTCGAGGCTAGCTAGACTAAGTGCGCCGCCTTTAAACGTGTTTTTCTTGAAACTGTGTTTTTGAAGTTGGTTGGCAAGATTTCTCGAGAAATACTCAAACGATCTTCATGAATTTATACACAGGACTTTGAGATACAATTCTTAAAGGTTTGGACGAAGGATTTTTTTTTTTTCGTTTATAACTATTTGAAAAAAAAAATTATGAAAATTTTCATTGAAGTTTTAATTTTATTTTGTAAAAATGTCTGCTAAAAATTCAATTTCCAGTTTTTTTTCCTTCGTCCAAGTTTTGTGAGAATTTGAGATAATAAGCTTTCATGAACGAATCCTTGACAACATATGTACCTAATTCAGAACTAGAATTCCTCTACCCTGTTAGTTGTTCCTCTCGGATTAATATCAAACAATGTTTATATACTATATATGTGGAGAGATTTCAAATAACAGTAACATAATTTCTTAAAAAGAAAAAAAGCGCATACTAATTGCTAACAAATTTCCAATATTTTCTATTTACTGTGAAGTACAATCGTTAAAATTAAGTACTGCATTCTATAACATCCTTCAAATGGCTTCCACGACTTCTTTTGTAGGAATAAAGTCTATGAACACAATTTTCGAATCGTTTTTCCAATAAATGAAGTCGTATGTCACGAATAGGACGTTCAATATTGACTTCTAAAGCTTGAAGAGAGTCTGGTTTAAGTCTAAAGATCAATGATTTCAAATAACACCACAAGAAGTAGTCTAAAGTTAAAATACAACTTCTAGGAGGCCATTCAATGTCACAATTTCTTGAACTAATCGAATCTACAAACTTTTCTCGCAATACAAGCAATACGGCTGTTGCACGTGCTGTACCCCAGGGGGTCAGTCAGACACTTAGTACTCCAGAATCAAGGAAATTTATAAGATGTCCAGTAAGCTCTTGATTCTTAACCGAGCGGCATCATTTTGAGTATGCCGCTAATCCTCAAAATAAAGTACATATGAAATATAGTTTCGCAAAGTATTAACCTATTTAAATCTTAAAAAGTTACGGAACCATAGGTCTCAAACTTAGATCTGAGAACTAAGTTGGGTCTAAAATCTACAATACACTTATGTTCTTTATTATTTATAATCATTTATCACTTTCCATACAAAATACAATTAACTACAAGTACAATCTTCACAAAAATTACAATAAGTATGGTTACATAATTTTACAATATTAAGAGGTATGTAGTTCATCCGAGATACACAAACACAAGTGTTGTAGTTGGCGACAATCGGTAAATCACTTTACTGAATCTGTAATCAATTTTCGTGGCTTGACTCATCGCGTCGCTTTAGCTGTATGCTTACCGGCCGACTGGGCTTGTTGATTAGTAGCGTCCGTACACCCATCTTTTCTTCACCCCCCATCCAAGTTACTTCAAAGTTTCGCAACAACTAGCGAATGAGATGAAAATTTCATGCAAATGAAATACAGGTTCATTTTTAAAAATAGCTTTGCCGCTCAATGCTCATTGGGTACTTACGCGTAACATGAAAACGAGTAATATTTGCTCAGCCATGCGACGGGCTATGCAAGCGCGCATGCCGTGACCAAAGGGCAGCACTAGGTAGGGATGAACGGCTTGATTGCGGTGCAGCCAACGCTCGGGCTTGAAGTCCTGTGCATCCGGGAAGTATTTCTCCAAACGACAGGAGATCATATTTTGTGTTACCACCACGGTCTGTAAAGAAATTTCAGTAAGAAGATGCGTCGCTTTGCTAGCTTTAACCGTAACGCACCCCTTTCGGCACATGATAACCGCTTAGCACCAAATCTCTATTGAGTATGCGTCCGACGCCGACTGAAATCGGATTCAAGCGCAAGACCTCCTTCAGCACGGCGCGTGTATATGGCACCTCGGCGCGCAAAGCATCGGCTGACAGCGGTGTATTCGGTGTGGCCAACACACGACAGGCTTCCGCCTTCAATTTCGCTTGCACTTCTGCATTCCTAGCAATGTGATATACCGCAAATGCTGTCGTATACGAAGTGGTATCGATGCCTGCTAGCAGTAAATCCGCTGCCATGCCAACTACATCACAGAGGTCGAGGTTGGGATTTTTGAGATACTCTTCAATCAATGAGCTGCGTGACATAGTGCCATCATAATTGTCGCCATTGCCGTTCGGTTTACTCTCCTTGAAGTACGCCAACTTTTGAGACACTAAATCGATGGCGACACTCTCCATATATTCTTGCGCCTTGCGTAACCTACGATATTTGGGTGTCTCGAAGTGGCGCCATAACTGCAAACCTTGATCGGTGGGCAATATGATGCTGTTTGTTGTTTCCGCAGCGCGCATGAGTTTGGTAGAGCGTGAGTTAGGTAGCTGTTCGTCGGGTGAGAAGCCATTTAGACGCTCATCGAAAGTCATTAGGCAGGTGACTAGGATGGAGGTTGCAATTAGACGTAATAATGTTGGGTGCATTATAAGTTTAGCCACTTAAATTATGTAGACTTACGTTCCAAATTCAAGCGCGCCAACTTCGGTAATATGTCGAAGCTGCAATCCATTGGCAAATATTCGAGGAACTCTTGTGTGACCAAATCCAAGTCAGCAAGGAAGCTGCGTACGCTCTTCGGTGCGCTGATCTCTTTTTGCAGCTCAGAGCGTAGGTGCCACCATTCCGCGCCGTTGCTATATGTAGAAGAAAATTATGAACCAATTGAAATCACTTTTCACATATACTAACGTGGGCAGCAAGCCGGCTGAGCGATAAATGTGCGGCCGATCTTTGCGATACTTCTCCAGCGCTAGATGACTGCGTCGCTGTGGATAATCCCGCTCATTTAGCAGCGTCGCAATATCGTTCGGATCATATAACCACACTATATCCTCGCCCGGTATCATGGTCTCACGCACGATCGGTCCATATTGCTCGTACTTATCGCGTCCCGCCTTATGCAGCTCCAACCATGAGTAACGTCCAATCAGCGGCAAGTACTGATACAATATACCGAGTCCGAAGGGTCCACGCGGACCTGGTATATCCTTGTAGGGTTTAGCAAATGCTTTTGACGTTGAACGCGCGGCCGTAGACGAGAGATATCTCTTTGTAAGTGCGCTGCTGATTATTCCAGCCATATTGCTTTGCTCAAGCACAGCAAGCACATCCAAAATCGCAGCTTTTTGCGGTGCCGATCAAGATCAAGACCGCTTAACACTAGAGCGTCACAGTATAAATGAATTTCGGTTAACGAAAACATTGCCGAATAGCGCAAAAATACCATTGTTTCTATATATTGCTTCACTTATAGAATGATTGATCCACAAATTATTGGATGTGTGTATCCAAGTTTGAGCTCATAAATAAATGCAAACCGTAGCGAAGTAAAGGAGTTAAGAATCGACGTAAATATATAAATGTATTTACATATATTTCACAGTCTTAGATAAACATGAGAGCTAGCATCTGTTTCCACAATGGTTCTCAATTTGTTTATTTGTGGAACTTAGCGTTGATTTAAGCTTAGTTTAGCACCCACTAAAGCGAGCAACAGCACATATCAGCTGTGGAGATTACTCAAAGCTTACGGTATGTATGTATGTATTGTGTTCCAGTTAGAGCATATTTAAAGATTTAGAATTTCATCGGCAGTCACGAAGTTTTAATACCCTACATTTAAAGGTGAATTCTGGATAACACTATGCGGGTAATCGGTTCAAATATGCAATAAACTGTCATATACAAAGATGTTCAACGATAAAAAAGAGAGATATTTTAGTAATAAAGGCAGCAATTAATGACCAACAAACGGTTCAGTATACTTTTAAAGCAACTGAGTTCTACAACGCTATTCCAACGCTATACTCGGACCAGCCATCACCAACACTCTCCAAATAGTTTTGAAAAATGTTTTACCCCTAAAACAACAGCAGTCATCACTTGTATGAGAACATCGATGAACAGTATCAAATATGAGAGTCTTAGAAGCTTTGCGAATTCAATTTAATGAATGAACCAGATGTATGTATACCAAGCATGTGTAGTACTTATTGTAATTTATCATCCTCGAAATTGTCATTCAGTATTTCTTCTAAATTGGAAAAATCTACAAATGTTTTTTAACTAACGTTTAACGTTCTGGACGATCTTTGACCTCTTTAATTGTTGAAAATATTAAAAAAGTGAAGGACATGGTGTTTGAAATTCAACCAAGTATTAAGGTTCGTTCGAATGATCGGATATGTTGGCAATAAAATGCGTTATTGCTCGACTCGTCCCGATAAAGCTGATATTTTTTCCAAAAAGGGTATCGTAAACAGGTCTCTTTGGACATAGTTGATCGTGCGAATTCCGATAAATTTTGGAAACGAGCTGAAAGCAATAAAAACCACACCAAAGCCGCTGACAAATCAAGGTGATGGTGATTCTTTTTTTCAACATTCGTGGTGTATCATAAATTTGTTCCGGGGGACCAGACGCTTAATAAGGAGTTCTGTTTGGCCGTATTGAGGCGTTTGCATGAGGACATCCAAGTTGTGCAAGAAAAATTAATAGATCCGTGTGATTATTTCTCGTTCCCTCAACCTCCCCGATCGAAGAGATAAAATAAAATTCGATGAAGGAGCTGAAGGCCGTCTTCTTAAAATTAACTTAAGTATAACTAAGCTTTAGCTACAAGTGAGTTACTCTTAAATAAATTATTTTCCAATTTCCGATAGATGAATAATTACGATCTCAGCTTCAGTGGACTAAGACTTTATTTTGAAATTTCTCCTTCATTTGGGCACAAATCTTTAAATAACGCACATTTCATTTAAAGTGCGGATATTTTATTATTCCATTAATTTATTAAAGTAATTAAATATTTATTTCTAAATTTTTTTTTTTTGGTTTTAGCCTACCTCACTGCACCTTCTTCTTATTGTTATTTGTTTTCTTCGTTTTACGTTTCAGAATTTTTTCCTTATCTACGCCGTTCATCGCCGTCTTCTTGCCCTTAGCCTGACATTGCTCTCTCAGCTGTTTAAGCACAATAAATGTATTCACCAAGAACATTACCAACATGAAGAGCAACACAGACATGGCGTCCAAGGAATGCAAAGCAAAGAAGCTCGTTTCGACAACTGCCTGCGAGTGAAGACAGTCACTTTCTTTGGGGTGCTCCATGACGTGCTCAATCCACCAGAGTGCCTCTTCGAGAGGATTTTGTGGCCGATTACGAAAAGCTACCTGACGAGACTTTACATTCTCGGTGAATTGTGGTTTCGTAGCCAATGCTGAGATGGCGCTCTGCAGTTTCTCAGCGCCGGACTTTAAATCTACTCTTAGGCCGATGCCCAAAGACTGCACACGTGTCGCGATCTGTATTGTAAAGAAGATCAGAATTATCATTACTGAAGTTGGTGTTACTTTCAATGCGGTCTCACACTTGGTGGCTGTAAGGTATTAGTAACTGCAATAATTGGTACGCCGTGGTAGATAGCCTCCTGCACTTCCATATGGCTGCCGCTCGTAATTACGCCTATCACCTTGTTTTGTGCTGTTAAAGATGGATGTAAGTTAAAGGTTTTGGAAATGAAAATTTAAGATCTTTGAAACTCTAGTACTAAATTAATAACTTTAAAGCGCTGCCAAACTGACTGAAATTAATTTTGGAGATATCGAACTAAATATTCCGTAAATTTTTCAGTCGATCTAGTTAAAGATCGTATCAAACTTTCAATGCTCATTGAACCATGGAATATGTAAAAAAAAATAATCTGTAAGAGATTTATGGGTTTCAAGTCCTTATGATCATCAGCCATTCATTAGAACTATGAAGTTGCTAATTGAAAATAGGTTAGAAAAAGTTGACAAGTGTTTCCATGGCAGATATCTCAAAACAAAAAAAAAAAAAAAAAAAAAAAAAAAAAAAAAAAAAAAAATATTAAAAAAAAAAAAAAAAAAAAAAAAAATATATACGTTCTTAGAGTATAGTCGCGGAAGCTGGTAAACCAGTATGTCTCCTTGGTTGGTCAGATTTCATTGCATTTTGATAAAGCAATCGTCAAACCAAAGTTTTAGGGTCGAAATAATGACACTGAAATCTTGAAACCACACCAGATTCATGGACTTAAGATTCATGGGCTTAAGAAGACATGAAAAATCCTGAGCTATAAAGAGTTCTGGAGATGTTCTCAAGATCTGATATTGACAGTCCAAGAAAATAAGTATATATAATACTAATTGATACGTCATCGATACTATGAAACTTTTGAATTAAGGATAAGACAGTTCTCTAGTGATTGCCGTATCAAATAGACGATTCCACACGCAGCAGTATTTATTCCAAAGACTGTCGAGTCTATAAAACTGATACGAACCCGCATTCAAATCACTCCGAAAGCCGTGAAATAGCAGCAATAATCCTAAAAAAACTTCTTTGACTCCTTACTTTTCTTCAACAACATTCAAAATCGGTATCGACTAAGAGAAGTGATTAGAGTAATACTTCAAAACCGCTGTCAAATTATTTGGTGTTTCGAAATATTACAACAACATTGGCGAGATTACTGAGATCCAGCATTAAACTACATACTTGTACATAAATCCGAGAAAAATTTTTTGTTTGCTAGAAATTACAACTAAAGAAATCACAATTTCGAAATTTCATACTCACCCAAAATATTGCTCTTCTTCAACCATTTTCCCACATACAGATTTTTCCTGCCAGTCGACGGTATCATAATCTTTTTTACACCCCACACGAAACCAAATTCTGGAAATTTATCTACCACACTCAGTACCTGTTCGATGAGCACTGGTGTCAAGAGCTCAGCGCCAATGGTGATAACGAAGACACCCTCAATGGAGTCATCAATGAACGTTTGCATCTCCACCAACAGCGGCCGATTGATGTTATCGAATTGCAAGCCAGCGACTTGAATTACATTCGGCGGCAACGAGTGCACATAGTCAAACGCCGGATGGCTGTTAACCAACGCGACTTTAACACGATCGTGTACGCTCTCAAAAGTGGGTTTTACGTGAGCTGCTTGCAATGCCTCGTGCCGAGCCAAGAGAGCCTCTTGTACGCGCAACACCGTGAATTGACGAAAGCTGCAAGCAAAAGAGAATGTCAATACAAAATATTTGTGTACTGGATTTGTATGTATGTATGTCTGAGTACACTGGCACTCAACGCAGTGACTCACAATTGGGCTGCGGCATAAACTAGTGTGTTGTGTAGACGTGCGAAAAAATTCATGTGTTCGTCGTGTGTGCTAGTGAAATGCGGCACAATGGCAGGTTGCAGCTGCGTGCCAGGCACAACTTGCAACAAATCAGGTGTGATATGCGAGGCACTGACTGCCACAATGGGCACATGCTCGAAGAGCTGCGTCAACGCCAGCAAACAGGAGTGACCGTAGGTGGCATCGAAGATGATTACGTCGAATGGCGCCTCCATGCCAGAGCCTCTGGAGAGCGCGATAAGCTCATGCAGGCCAGTAGACGAGAGCACAGCTTGGCAGACTTTCATCTGTTTGTTGTACCAATGGTAGATGCGCTCGAAGGGATTCAACCAGGCATTGACCAAACGGCTGTGTCGATTAATGGTGGTGTCCAAGGCTTCTTTCACCTGCTCCAAATGAATTTGTGTGAGGTGCGGCGACTTCGAGTGCATTGTACTGCCGCTGACTAGCGTAACTTTGTGACCGCTTTCAATTAGACCCCTGATAACGGCATCGTGCCTACGAGTGTGCGCCGAAGTGAAAAAATGCAGAAATTAGACATACACACGAACACATATAAGCACAAGATATAATTAATGTAAACTCGCTTGTTTTGCATTAAAATGTACCAAATTTGTTGATCCGGCGCTAATACCTCGACTAAACTAAGTATATTTGCGCTTTCTGCGCCGTTAAGCGCGTGGCAGAGCGTCACGAGCAATGCGATTGCAAAATTTGTGAATTTCATTACTTTTGCGTTGCGCACGAACCGCTGCCAAATATGCACTTTCTGTGGGACTCGTTTAACTACTGAATTGTTTATCACGCAGCGCCGGTACTTGGAGCACCGGTGTGGAATTGCACAAACACCAGAGTGTCAGAGTCGCCGTGTTAGATAAGGAGAGCCTATCTTATCGGTTTTTATGTGGATTAATGGCTTTTGTTGTTGTGATAAGAATTGGACTTGTGGATCGTGTATGTAAAATTAAGAGAATTTGTAGTTTTATAGGTAAAAAAGAGCGCTCCAAAGAGCGAGACTAAAATGTGGAGTGTAAAATATGAAACGCGAGGTGAAATGGAGAAGCGTGGGATTTACACGCTACATTATATTTATGTGTACAAATGTAGATCAATATTCTTAGTAAAGGTAAATTATTA